TTAAGCTCATATCTGAAGTAACATCACTTTTAAAGGGTCGAACGGCCCGAAATATTGTTCGTTCCTGGTGTTAGATAATAGATACTCCGCACGTGACCTCGAATCAAGTCACACGTGGAATGCTGTCTGAACGGGGATTCAAGTTCGCGACCTAGCCCAGTGTTATGAATGGACGTTGGCGTCGGGCATGTGGCCAACAAGCCGGCGAGCGTTTTGTACGCGACTGTACCACGGATGAGTTCGTTACTTGTTTATGTTTTCGAACACCGAAAATATCCATGCGTTGGACGGAGATAAAGAAAGACTTCCGTTTTTCCTATAGCCTGCCTAATATTTTCTCTTAATTGTTCTAAAATAATTGAATCATCGACTACTATCATGAGAAATAATCGAATCTTGGATATTTCGTTGTCTTTCCGGCCCAAAAAACGGTTTTTTTCAACGTAACACTAGAAAAAATTCAGAAAATATTAGACCGTTAATCAAGGTGAACTCGGCATGGACGTTCGGAAACTATATAAATATGTAATCATTTATATTATTGCTTTTTGGTGTGTTCACTTTCATTCGAGGAGTTAAAGGGCACAGTGGTGACGTCATAGTCTACATAGTTAACTCCGCAACAGCTTTGAGCGAACAGCGGGAGACCGGGCGACTAATGGCCAAGGTGGATAAAGTCGGCACCAACATTTTTTCCATCTACATGACTTCATCAAGTTAGTTTGCTTACTGCATTAAATCTATTTATGAAGCATTAAGAAATATAAAATGGAATACTTAAAACGAGTTGAAAGATTAAGCTGTTAATGTATATTGAATAAGAAGATGAAAACTCAACCGCAAAGTTGAGAGTTCACAACTATTTTTCCGTTTCCTTATTTCTTTATTTACGCGCTTCCCTCATTTTTAGAAAATTGTAGACCAGTTCCACTTATAGATAGTTCCTACAATATAAAATAAACATATTTGTATCTCAGCTTAGTCCAGAAAAACTAGGCGTGTGAGGTTATTTCAATTTTCGCGACACGACATTTAGCTCACCGTTACAATTGTTTTATAAGAGTCGACATCTACAGATACATAATATCTGAGTGCCTTTCTGTAGTCGACAGGAAAACTCAGAATAGAGGACTTCGCGATATTGTCTTAAAATTAAAAATAAAAACTGTCGAGGACTGTTCCAAACATTTACGAAAGTAATCTACCATCAATCAGGAAAGCTTACACAATTCCAAAGAAGATCGATCCGAGATAAAAATGCAGTCGCGATAAGTACCTAGTTCGGTCATAGATTTTGTCACATGATGAAAACTTTTGCAATTTGAATGCTGGTCATAAAAATATTTATTGAATTCCGCATCCTTGAAGCAACCGCCGATATTGATAAGGAACTCGTTCGCGCTTGTATTCATGAACGCGGGGGTCGTTTTGAATAAGCTCAGTTAGCATAAGAATATGTTTTAGTAAATTCCTTTTGGTATATGTATAAATGTTTGCTGTAAGAACATACATGTGTCAAATATTCCACAATAAACGTGTGACAGAACTAAGAACCTACTAGGTATGCAATAGCCTGATTATACACAGTGAAGAAAAGTAACTTCCAAACATTATCCATCGTGTTTGTGAATAACGTCACGCCCAACTAATGTCACCTTTAAAGTCTTCGTTCACGTTAAAGTAGTCAGAGCGCGTGGGCTGGGATTTGAGTCGATCACATTGCTGACGGCGAAGGTGACCCTCTCTCGGGATGATTAAAAAAGAATTAGAGCAATCAATAAGTTTGCTCACGTTGACGCGGCGCCCGCATAACTTCGGTCGCTGTGACGATATGATAGCTTCAAACACGCCTCTTAGCTTTGACATATAGTATATATACTATTGGGGTTAAATCCGTGTGTTCTTAACATTTAAAATTGGGTTTTTCTAATGCTACAAATTCACGAGTCGTAACCGAACTTAACAGTTAGTTACTTGATCGTTTCACAAGCTCTATTTTGTTTTGGTGAGCGTTAGGTGGGAAAATGTTAAAATTTCAGAAAATTTCTGCGCAAAAATAATGAATCAACCAGTAAACGAAAATTAAGACAAAGTTATAATAACAAAAACTAGGTCTTATGCAGAGTGGTCTAATGACAGGATGTGGCATATTAATTCGCTTAATTTTGAGATTATTCTTAATTCGATGAATTTTTAAGAGCATTTTGCGCTTCGGAATTAACGTCACTTTATGTGCGAGTATAATTCAATCGGCATTAAGGCTATGACCAGTCTATGTTTGGCTAGTAAGTGCTTTACGTTGCTTAATGTACTTTTTTGTTAGTGAGCCATAACTTACATATTTCTTCACCAAATTTACTGATTCCAACAGCATTTCAAAGATTAGTTGCCGTCATAGACGAAAAATTGATGATTAGATTAAAGTTAAAATGTTAATAAAGAAACTTTCTTTGTTTTAGACAAAAAAAATAAACTGTTAAAGAATGTATGATAATGCCATATATTGACAATTTGTGAAAGATAGCAAATTAGACTGAAAAACGTTATTCTTCAAAATGAGATTTCATTGATAAATACTGATTTTCACACTATTATATTAATAGTCGGCGACTTATACGGTACTGAGCCAATGATGTTTAATAATAAATAGATGACGGATGATCACCCTGCGCGGCGTTCAAAATGATTTTTCCGCTTTACATTATATGACAGATATAAGTGAATGTGACAGATGATATAGAACGTATGATATGGAAAGAGATAAATATGGATATGGAAAGAGATAAAGTCTATGGAATTGCAATCTAATTACAGCGATTGGTGTTATTTTAGTGCCTCAGTTTCGGTGTGCTAGTGTCGTATCTCTGTATTTGTCATTGGTACTGAGCGAAAATTTCGCACGGGCAAAATTTCACGTTGGATTGCAATATCAAGATTGAAAAGTGAGAACAATATTCATATGTGAGACGCGACGGCCGTAAAAAGACATTGTCTCGGGACATCGTATGCGTCACCCGTGAACAACGCGCGCACATGACCTTAAAACAAATACGTGACGGAAAAGGATACGAAAATGTAAATAATTAATGTCTTATCTCCACACCACCGTACAAAGCTATTTCTACAAAATCCACCTATTGTTCTAAGATAGTTTTAACTCATAGTTTCGACCATTAGAGACATTTTATATTTTAGTACACAAAATTGGTTATCAGAATCGGTCGGAGTTATTACGTATTGATTCTAAATAGAACTTTACCTAGTCTAGGGTTTTCAGCAATGGCTAACATAATTTCTGTTTCATCGCCCCAAAAAACTTGTTCGTTCATCGAGTCTACGTTTGAGTTTAATTTCGCACCGCAGTCTTAATTACCGACGTTGCTGTACAAAAGAATTCGCTTAAAGCAATCCGTTGTCGGTCGACCTATTTTCCTTCGTGTACCAAAGTCTCTTAATTTCCTTAGATTCTCTTTATTTGCTGAAATATGCTACGAATGGTTCTCCAGTATATAATTGCAATGTATATATATATATTTTTTTTTAAATGCCCTTACTTTTGGATAACATTATCCTATGTTGTGAGGACGTTTTACAAATATAAACTTCACGTGGACAAACACCCAGATGCGAAACAACTATCTGTCGGTCACACAAATAGTTTTCCCGGGTGGGGCTCGAACCTACGACCCGCGACGCCGAGGCAACTGCGCCACGGAGTCATATCATTGCATTGGTGTCATCATACATATAATATCCTTGGGAGTGGGGGATGTTGATGAATAATAATATAGAGTGCACGTCACGTTGCCGTAGTGTTGTAGGGATGTCAGACGAGTCGGTAAACAAATTAATTGTGTCGCTAGTGGAAAATAAAGCGCGCACTTGCTCCACCCCCTACTACCCCCCTTGCGAGAACGCGCTTGACCTGAATACTGTATTGCGACTTCACTTCATCCCCCCTGGTGGGGGTGGAGGTTGACAACGTTGTATGCAAACATTGGAGAAGCTCACGCGTGCATGTACAGTAGGTACAAAGAGTGACGACACTTTAAATGCTAGTAACTTTTATAGACTACTCTCTGCACTTTAGATGAAATTACAAAAACACTAGACGGCGCCAAGTATAACTTACAAAAATGCAATAAAAACACAAAGATGAAGAATGTCGGGTGCGTATCCCGGAGGACGTTTACACAATTTTCGCCCAATTTTCTACAAAGTTAATCAGCTCATGTTTCTAATTGTCCATATGAAACTCGAAATGCTGTATCCGTATTGCTTGGAAAAATCAAAAATATATTTATTCACATAGGCGCTTTCACGTTTTTTATGAAATGTCAAAAATTTTACATAAAAATTAATACGTTCGTAAGTTACCACCGGCAGACATACATAGTATGTAAATTTTTACTAAGATATTTCATAACAATTTACTATTAATTGAAAACAAATATCATCAATCTGGTAATACGAATTAATAACACTAAAATATAAATGATCACTGAATGAAACGACAATGTTAATAAAAAGGCACGGTGGTGATTCGTAAGTCAAAACCGGGGTGGGCATGAAAACATGGACACCCTACATTAGGGGTTGCTCTAATAACAGTTATGCTAATACGGTTACTGTGAGTTCCATCTAGACGGACTCTATAATTTGAAATCATTCTATTATATTCGTATGCCAACGCAGATAGCTACAGACTTCGTCGTCTGTTTTATTCCTTTACCCCTTATTGGGATTCTTAAGTAATGTCAGCTGAATATTCGAAATAGGAAAAAAAATATTTGTGTGTACATAACGTATGAAATCCTGGCTTCAATCGCAGGACTATTTGGACTAAACATATCTGTCTACAGTATAAGCAGTATCTAAATAGTATTTAAGCCTAACTTTTTATTATATATATACTTAGGCTTAACTATCATTTATCAATATGAGCAGTGTTGACGTCTAAATGTTATATGATAAGAAAACTGTAATAGTTTTAAACTCACTTTTCTTCCGGCGTCTCCTCGGCTATCGGGCGTGGGCTGTGGGTCGACAAGTCGGGCAGCTCTACTGCCATTGTGTCCATCGCCATGTTTGCACGATTTATTTCAATCTATGTCCGTATGACCGCGCACATGGATTACGCACTGTTTCGTTTACTTCACAACTACCGAACAATGTATTCTTTGATGGTACACAGAATCGAATGTCTCCTAAAGCCTTTGCACACGTTTGATAACAACTGTCTGTTGTGGTACAGTCTTATCAAGATTCCTTTTTATATCTGGTACTACTGCAATGCAGATGTGATAAAGTAATTCATCCACGCCTCGAGGAGTTATCTATCATGAGTATGTCTAGTTCAGTCGAAAGTAAAATAAAAAACACGAAATGTCCAGTCTTATAATATTAATAGCGACGTCATGTAACTACGAACATTATACAAGAACAAAATACGTAGCGGTTCGTAGCTATGGGTTACAGCTGCTACGACATTCTATCTTCTTAACGACTTCTTAACTCGAGCTACGAAATCAATATAAAGCGTGTATGGACTGAGAGCAACAGAAAAATTGAGACGAATATTAAAAGGTTCCATTACCAAACTTACTTGGCTTTTGAAAATAATAACTATTACATACTACTACTACTGCACAAGGAGTGGATGATATTATTGTAAAAGGTGATGTATATAATCAGTTACGAATGATCGTTAATTTTATAAAAATATTAATTGCAATTTCTTGTTAAGTTACAATAAATACGCAAAATAAACGCTTTCATACGCTCTGTCCGTGTAATAATTAATCAAAAATATCACATTCTAATATCATCCGCAATGTCAAGTGGAAATATTAAGTGTTGATCCGGCAAGGCTCACTTAAAAATTAGGTCAAGATATCTATAACATTTTAACCCTGACTCTCCAATTAAGGCAGAAGGTCATAAAATCTTAATGTCTAGTTGTAATATTGTCTACTTTGTTAGCATTGGGGGGAAAGTCTTCCAAAGATTTTCTTTGAGTTGTTAGAAGATCAGGCACCATCACTGTTGAACATAGCGACGCTTAAGGCCATTAAAATTTGTAAACGTTACGATACATATTTATTCTGGCTTTATTTAAAGCTTACAACCTTACAATATGCGTATGTGTTTGTAAATTTTACTGTAACAAATCCATATACTAGTTTCGATTTATTGCACCTACCAGGATTTCTTTTCACTCCCCGGGTTGACTGGTAGAGATTGCCAATTGGCTTTAAGTCCGCTTTTTGTAATCTCTATTTAAGTTCTTTGCAATTAAGAATAAATAAATAACCCTCCTAACTCGAAGGGCACCTTCAACGATGGACAATTTTAAGGTGAATATGGGATAAATGTGATATTAACGCCCTTCGCATTTTTATTGATAGTGTGCAAGAGAGCAGTTAACACATCTCTGACAGGGGTGACACTCTTGATGAGGTCACTGCTCTCCAAGTTTAGATAAGTCACGCCCTCACCTAACCTTTCTAATTGAATAAAACGACCTACGATCTTTTGACCTGGCTGTAAAAATTTATGGTTACGTTTATACAAATACCGAGATGGGTTGACGTTTAAATTCTCGCATAGAATACTATTTGTTTTATCACAAATCCGTACCCACCCAGTTATCACCCAGACGGGAGGCTGAGGTTCAATTAAAACTTTACAAGCTTTTCGTCTCTATTTTCAATATGTAACATGTTCAATATTGTCGATCAGACATGATTTTCTTCACAAATGGGTCATGCAGCAGTCTTCGCTGTTGTACGATTGGGCAATTGTGCGTCCGCGTAAGTAACACGACCTCACAGAAAGCAGACGTGAGGTGGAAGTGTTACACTTCTGCGTTTCGTATGGTGAGTGAGGTAGCCGGGGCCCACTTTATTATAAGGTGGCGACGCTTTGGCGACCCTATCAGGTGATCACTTAACATCAGGTGCACCGCCAACTCCGCAGCAGTGCGAATTTCCTCCCGATACCAAAAAAAAGGATGATGTCTTTAAAATAGAACACAATTTTTGATTTACACGCTACAACTTTTCACTGAGTATATCAAAATAAAAAATTAAACAGAAACACAGTCGGGTTTTTATAGTTTTTTAAATTATATTAAACGTTAATTAATCAATTAATTAATTAAGAAACTGGGGATACCTCCCCAGCACCACCAGCAGCCTCGGCTGTTGCACGAATGGGCAGGCTCGTCTGGGTAAGTACCACGACCTCACAGAAGACCGGCGTAAAGTGGAAGTATGACAATTACTTTTGCGTTTCGTCTGGTGAGTGAGGTAGCCGGAGCCCAATTTTCAAAAGGTTGTCAACGCATCGGCAAACCCTCGGGTGTGGCAGATGTCCATGGGCGGTGGTATTCACTTAACATCAGGTGAACCACTTGCTCGCTTGGCAACTTTTCAAACAAAAAAAAACTGGGGTGGTGTGTCGCCAATCGCCGACAGCTCGGGCCCCACTGACCGTAAGACACGTCCGTATACAAGTACTTTCATATACTTACATTTAACCGCTTAGTATTATTTGCAAAAAGGTTTTAACCAACTTGTTGAGGCTTTATAAAACCATGTCAGTTGTGAAATTGCGTATACACGCCGGTGTTATCTAGTTCAATGTCGATGAGCGGGCGCCAATTAGTACGCGTAATTTATTTTGCGCGCGATAAAAATGTGGCCATATGTATGTGTATAAATACCAGCGGACCCGACAGACTTTGTCCTGTACACGTCGTAAATCCGAGAACAGCTTAAAAATAAAATGATAAAAATAAAAAAAAATGTATTGGACAGAATCTAAACCATTCTCGAATGCACTCGAATCCAAAATCTCATCAAAATCTGTCCAGTCGTTTAGGAGGAGTTCAATCACACGCACAGAAGAATTATATGTATAAATATAAGGTCTATATACTTATGAGCCTATTAGCGGGCGCTGCTGGGACGGGAGAGCGAATTTAAAGTTTTACGATGAACAATTTCCACGATTTTCTATTAAAACTCACACAATATTATCTTGTTTAAGCAGTTCCGCTGTTATAGTTACAATCAAAATGGAATAATTTAATGTTTGCATAAAAGAGTGAGGTTAATACTAATGATGTTTTATTAATATGGATGATGCATATCCATACTGCGCGGAGTTTAAAAATTGTTCAGCTTTACATGATATACACAAGAGAATGTGACAGATGATATTGAATGGAAAGAGATAGCAGTCTATAGAATTGCTATCTAATTACATACTTAATGAGGAGTAATTTTAGTGCCTCAGTTTCGATGAGAAGTGTCGTATCTACCTCGTATTTGTATGTAATATCATTGGGCAATAGTCTCTTCTCTATCGTCTCTTATAGAATAACGAGTCTGTATTCGATCAGCTGTTTGTTTATCGAGTTTTAAACGTGGCGCGTGATGTATGATTTTCAATGTGGTATTGTATGATCGGCGGCGGGTCGGGTTCGATGACCTTTCGTGCAAACAAAGATGGCAAATTTGCGAACGTTCCTCGCTCTGCAGACGATGTAACTACCCACAAATTTAGTGCCTTCAACCGAAGCTGGAATGGAAACTATATTGTGATTGGCTAGCCAGACTAGGCAATTGAGCCTATAAAAACAGGTAGTATTTCAATTATGAAGGTCTTTTATTAAATAAAGATGATTCATGTCTATACTGCGCGGCTATTTTTTATTTTTTTTATTTAATCCAGTAATAAAGTACAATAACATAAATTATTCTCTGCCAAACTGTGATGCAGTTTGTCGGCAGCAACTTTTTTTTTAAAAACTATTATGCTTTTCATTGTTATATGACATGTATAAGTGAGTGTGACAGATGATATAGAACGTACGATACGGAAAGAGATAGCGGACTAACCAATTACAATGATTGCTGTAATTTGAGTGCCTCAGTTTAGGCGCGATAGTGTCATATCTACCTCGTGTTTGTATACAATATTATTAAATAGTATTTAACCGTTAAATAATGAAAATCATGTCGCAAACCTTTCACAGGAAATGTTTAAAGCGAAATGTGCATGCGGGGTGCACGCGACGTTGCATGCTCGGAGTCGCTGATTAAAATTGCGAGATATTCGAAATGGGTGGTTCACGAAATCGGCTGGCATGCTAAGAAATAACTCCCAAGCATTCGCCAGTTAAAGGTTAGCTCAAACTCCTATGACTTCATGTCGCAATTGCTAAGGTAATGACTCCGGCGCCGGGGGTCGCGGGTTCGCAAATTAATATTACATATTTTTCTAGTGAAATCAATTACTATTCTGACTGTAAACTGAAATAATTAATAAGTTAAATATACCTGACTCTAAACGAAGTTTTATTGATATAACCAGGCTTCAACTAATAGTCATTGTTTGTTTCTATTCGCACGACCATTGACTTAGGTGTGTATTTAACGTTCTCTTCATCTATAAGTATTTAACATTCATTAATATACTGCTGTTTAATATGGTGTTAATGATGGGGCTGGCGTATCTATGTAGATTAAAATCCTATAAACATAAAAGATAATGTGAAAAAACATTACTATATATTTTAATGTCAAAATCATTTTTTTATGTGACAAGTTGCCAAGCGAGCAGACGGTTCACCTGATGTTAAGGTGAATACCGCCGCTCATTGACATCTGCTACACCCGAGGGTTGCAGATGCATTGACAATCTTTTGAAAATTGGACACCGGCCACCTCACTCACCAGAGGAAACGCAAAAGTATTACTTCCACTTTATGCCGGTCTTCTGTGCGGTCGTGGTACTTACCCGGACGAGCCTGCCCATTCGTGCAACAGCCGAGGCTGCTGCGTGGCCCTACCACCGTGAAAATTAACCACAAATAATGTTTTATTAAACGGAATTGTTTTGTCTATTCTTTAAATTACTCAATTCATATGATACCACAAACATGATACGGGCTTAACTTCATAATTATTTATCTTAACGTTTATTACTTATTTTTTATCAATAAGAGGTTAAATTAAGCCGATATTGAATAAAGAAATTTTGACTTTGAGTTTGAATATATATGAAATGGTAAATATA